CGGCGGGGGTGGGGTGGGGGGGGTGTGCCGCAGGTGCTCAGACACTCACGCTGAAGTTGTAGGAATTGTTGCGATGGCCCAGGCCCAGCACCAGCTCCTGGTCCTTCCCCTGAGGGGACAGAGCGCCCCCAATCAAGCATCAGCAGCCCCGGGTCCCCATCCCCCCACCAAAGGCTGCCTTCCAACCTGCTGGTCTCCTTGTGATCCTGCAGGTTTTGACTTGGCCTTGTTTGGCACAGTGGTGGTCCCTGGAGGGCAGGAGTGGATGAGTTTAAAGATGGATGGACAGAAGGACAGCAGAATGACAGGAGGATGCGCAGAGCAGCCCTGCCATCCTCTCCCCTCGACAGAGCCAGCCTGCCTCACCGTTGTCCTTCTTGGGGGTGACCATGTGCTCTGGCTTCGGGAGTCCTGGTTCCGAGGGTGTTTCAGGGAGAAGCCCAGAGGAGATGAACAGCTTTTCCTGCTCCCCATACTTCCGCACCTGGACCCTGGGGCGAGGGGGAGGGTGAGGCGTAGATGAGGCTGGGAGGCTAACGGCTCCCGTCAGGCATGCCACCTGTGTCAAGTGACTCGATGGGCCCCTGGGCCCACTGGGTCTCCCCTCTGGGGGTTGACATTGGACTGAATCAGTGGTCACAAAGTTCTAGCATCTGGCTACCACCTATTAGGATGGCTGCCACATCCACACACTGCCTGCACCAGCAAGGATTTGTCACTTCCTGTGACAAGGACTCGCTCATTCTACCTTATTTGGCACCTTATTTAAAAACCACCGTACATATACACAGGCAACATCTCTGTATATACAGAGGAACCATTGGATCCTGGGTCCAAATCCCAGTTCTTGGGCCTGTTTTCTCATCTTTACAGTGGAGTTAATAACAGCTTAAGGAGGCGGTGAGTAAAGCAGACCCAGCTGTCCCGTGCATAGAAAGCCTTCGACAAGTACGAATGGTTGTTATGGATCCTCACAACACCCTTCTGTGGCCAGACCTTCTGTCCTGAGACCTCGACACTCCCCGGGGACCCCTGTGCTCCCTCCCTGTCATAATCAGAAGGCTTGAAGGGGACATTAAAGAGCCAGTGGCTTTCTTTCTCAGAGTGGCAAAGTTCTTTTTAGCTGGTGCCTCATCCCACCCGGTCGGCTCTTGTGGGTATCGCTCCCAGGAAAATACAAATGATGGATCTTTAGGGGGGCCTCTGGCCCCCCAACTCACTGCAGGTCCTTGGTGTTGATAAGGAAGAGAACCAGGAGGTTGCTACTGTTTTTCTGGAGAGGACAGTCGTTGGGGTTCTGGGTCTGGGGAGTGGGTAAGAGGGAGCCTTGGTTACCACCTCCCACCGACCCAGTCCCCCTGCCTCCTCCCTACCCACTCTGCAAGGGAGGGTTCCTTCCTGTTCCCCACTCTGGAAAAGGGGTCTTGGGGCTCCTGGATGCAGAAAATGGCCCCCCTCCCTGCCGCCCCCAGCACCCTAGCCCTTCCTCACTCCCTGCCCACCACCCCCTGCACTCACTGAGGAGGGTCGAATGCTGCCAGATCGAACCCGGGTCAGGCTGAACCCCACCTGGGAGGCAGAAAGAAAGGGGGAGGATGTGAGGGGCTCCAGCAGGGACCCCCAAGCTACCCCTTTCAGTAGAAACAGAAACGTAATCTCAAACTTATTGGACACCTACCACGTGCTAGATCTCATTTACTCAACGAATTCTCCTAGGACCCATCCTGCCCACACCTCTCAACCCTCTTGCCTTAACGCCTAACCAACCTGTGGTACTCAGCCTGGACGTCACTTCCAACTTGGGTGTCCCTTCATCAGGGAGACCTTAGCACGTCCTCTGGACCTAGCCCACTTTATTTTCCTCGATTAAAATGATGTAAAAAAAAAAAATTTAAAAATTAAAAAAAAAAAATCAAATAAAGTGTTTATGGCTGGCTGCCTTGGGTTCTGGAACCCAGCACTCTTGGATTTCCATACAGGGTCTGTGACTCCGAGCAAGCCACATACCTCCGAGCCTGTGTGAACACCTGCAAAATTGGCTTTACGGGTGTAACGTTTTTGAAGCATTCCTGAAAGGTGGCTACAAGGGAAAAGTCCCGTGGAAATTGCTTTGCATGGTACCTGGAACTCAGTGGGCATTCAGTAAATGCTAGCTACTCATTTTGACTGCAGGAACAGGGGCTGTGGGAGGCCAGGATGTGAATCCAGACTGGGGAGAGGAAGGCTTGGACACTGTGCACCTCGCCTTCCTCCAGGAAACCCCTCCAGGCCCCTCACCAGGGGAGTCTTCTCTTTGGTCTCTTGCAGGCCCAGCCGCAGCAGGCTCAGGTCCACCTCCAGAGAGCCGTTGGTGTAGAAGCCGAAGCTATTCAGCTGAATGTCTGGTCGCTTCTCCCCCTGCCGGACACCAAGGAGGCAGAGGAAATTCAGAGTTCTTTCAGCCCGCCCAGCCCTAGGGCTGTGGCATGAGGCTCCCTTAAGGACCTTGCCCCACTCCTGGCATCTCTTTATTTAGGACAGCTCCAAAAGGTGTCAGGAGAGGCTGCAGGAGCCTCCTTGTAGGCTCTGTCCCCACACCAATCCCAGGCACAGACAGCGTGGCTCCGGGTCCTCCAGCCACTGTTCTGAGTCCAGGAAGAGAAAACCCGGGAAACCTAGAGGCACCCCCACTAAGTGAGTACCACCCTGGAAGCGAAGTTATTCGTCTTGGTGTCTGGACCTCACCCGCTGGACAACTTTTAGATCTCGAACTGAACCCCCAAGCTCCCAATGAATGTCCAGAGGACCACATTCTAGCACCCCCGGGGACTCCCCTGGGCAGTGCCAAGGGTCCTTGCGCCCCAAAGCAATCTCCAAAATTTAGACGGCTAAGTGTCGGCGGCGGCGGGGGGGAGAGGGGGAAAGAAGCGTCCCCAAAGATGAAGTCCCACCCCTAGCGTGGCCAGCCAGGCGACTCCATCCGGAGGACAGAGGGAGCTCCTCAGACGAGACCACTCCGGGCCTGGAAGCAGGGGGACGTGGGGCGCCGGACCGCTCCATCCCACGTAAGGAGCGGGTGAAATTGGACGAGGCCACTCCAAGCCAGAGGCTTCTCCGGGACAAAGCTGCGCCCCCCGCCCCCGACCGCCGCGCGGTGAGACTCACCGTCAGCGCCAGCCGGTGGATGCGCCCAGAGCAGCAGCCCAACAGCAGGAGCAGAAGTAGGTGCTGCCCCCACTCCACCGGGCTCCGGCGGGCGAGCCCCCTCCTCTCGCTCACTGCCATCTCTGGAACCACCGCCTCCCCTGATACCGCCTCTGACGCCGCCAGGCCCGCCTACTGGAGAGCCAATCGCCCCACAATGGGGGCCGACCTTTCGGCTTTTCCAGCCGGCCCGACCAGTCAACGATTGTCTTCTAACAAACCCGCCCCTGTACGACACCAAATGGACAGCACCGCTCCGACTGGGAGTGCTGATATCGCTTAATCCCGCCTCCACTCTCATCAATCACTATAAAGATGATCCCGGATGTAATTTGATAAACAATCCATCTAACCAATTGTAATAGATCTGATATCCGGCCCTTAAAGCGGACTAACTGACATATCGGTCCAGGACTACAATACCCAGAATGCAGAGGGAGCAGGCAGCACAACAAGCAATTAAGCAAACTACATTTCCCAGAATCCCCAATGGCGGACTTCCCTTTTCTTACCCTGGGGATGTGGCTCCCAGCCAGAGCCCAGCCTTATGGTAAACAGGCGCATCTGCTGAGCCCTCTCTTGTTCTAATCTTCTTGATTGACCCAGAGGCCTGAACCTGCCCCAGATTAAATCTTGACCCTAGAATGACCTATGACCCTAGGCTGAGTCCCAGCCTTCGGCAAAGCCTCCTATCTCAGAGTGAGGCAAATGGAGGCCCACTCCCAGATCCCAGGCTGGACTTGGCTATGGGCTGAACCTCCTGAGCCCTTTCC